TAGTGATCAACCGCCTTACTGGAACGGTTGCATCTGGCTACTGACGGGCTTTTCCAGCGCCATTATCCGTCGATCATCTTTACTTCGGCACCTCTGTCTAACAACAGCTAGTGATTATAAGCTCCATGCACCTCTGCGTATATCCGGAGCTTGTTAAGAGCCAGTTTTTGTTTCGCCCAGGCTTATTCGCTTGCAGTCACTGCAACCAATCTTAACGCTGCCGTACCACCAAATTACCTTGCATTCACTTTCGCAGTAAGCTATGTATATTGTTCTTGACTTATTCTGCGCTCCCTATTGAAGTAGGCTGGCTACCTTCTGTTCCTTCACAGTTTACTCGCCACCCATCTTCAACCTTTCCTTTCTCTCTTATCACGCAATTGATGCCTCCTACTACACTGATACTTCTTGGATTGTTTACTGGTAAAAAGCTCTATCCTCTGAGTAGATGTTTACAGTCTACCATTGATTCGGTAGTAGGTTCAATAACCACTATCCGTGTACTAATCTTTGCAAATTGTACACAATTTTGTTGCAACTCTAAGCGTTGCACCATAGGACTTAAGCAACGCTTTATTCTACGCCTTTTGTTTTGGATCTGTTTTCCGTTGTGCCACACTGTCAGTTTCCTCCGAAGTTCAGAAATACTTGAGGGTCTGGGATCTGAAGGAGGAACAGCGTTCGCCCAAGCCAACCGTAATAACAAACAAGGACCTGCATAGAGAATGGCTTACACAAAACGGATACAACTGCCCTCACCACAACTGCAGTTGTCCGATGTGGATAGTTGGACACTATGTCTTTACACTCCCAAAAATTAAACATTATCTGAAACCCCAGATACTAGAAAATTGAAACTGCTCGCCTAAACACCCAACAGGACGACTATTCCTGACCCACCCATTCTCAACCGGCCTCAGCGCTTACGGCGGCCTTGACCAAGTATCCGTTCAGCCCTCAGAGAAAAGTAAAAGTGCTTTGACTGCAAATAACTGAGTGAAACCAACCGGCAAGCTGCTTTTCCAGTTTGTACATTGGTGTTCAAAATGCTTTAGGGCAGAACGCCAGGACGTAGTGGGTTTTCGCCTGGCAAGCTTTCTCCCCATTAAGGCCACAAATGTCTGTTTAAAATCACTGCGATGTGGCGGATGTGATTACTGCTGAATAAAGTCACTGTCCACAACTACTTACTGGCAGGTCGACTAGCATCTTATTTCAATCTTTTCTTGAGACGAGCAACAACACAATACGCTCGGTCGACATATAACGTTTCTCTGCACTTATAGTGCCTTGACTATTTGCGCTACGCACACTTGAACCCAAAGTATAGTTGCGAAACATAACTGCCTGTAAAGTTTGAGCATGCCATATTTGGTGTGCCTCGATAAATTCGATCGCGGCAGAGCTTTTACGTGGTCATCCGACAACCGGATACAGCTCAACCTAATCAAGTACATAGGCCTAAGCATACTCAAGCAACTTATCTATGAATATCGACATGGGACCAGGCGTTACAACGTGCCTTCCAAGGCAACAACGTCGCGGGTGATCGTACGGGGCGACCATGTTTGCTCCAGACAGGCTGAAAAGATATCAAGAAGAATCAGCCAACAGCTTGGGCTAGTACGGTGGGTTTTGGAAATTTTAGCCATCATTATTTCCACAAGCGATAAACAACTACGTGAATCCTCATGTAGAATAAACAATACATGCCTGGCGTCCCAGGCGCAGGCGCGACGTCGATGCACTTGAAGCTCCGCAACGCAGAGCGACCAAAGCCTTTAGAGGATGCTTTCCTCAGTTCTATCAACACGGACTGCATTTCCTGAGGTTGTACAGTGGTGAATAACGACGTCAGCGAGGAGACCTAAACTTCGATTACTTACTACTGGCGACTCCAACTCACGCATATCGCAACCACTTGCAGCTGAGCCAACATACTAACCTGAGAGTTCATCAGTTCAAACTGACTACGCATTCCAGTCAATTTGATTTTCGACGATACGTATTCACTCTATGTCCCGTGCCTGGAATGCCCTTTTGACTCACCTTATCCTTACCCTACAAAAAGGTATTTCTAACCAGGTATTGATGGAACGCGTTCAAACTTGCATTACTTTATATAGTCAGTTCCAATTGAGGGACGAAGCGACGCAAACGTAACAATGTGCTTAACCGCCCACTCCGCAGCGTGGAGTTTAGGAAACATGCAGCAGTGTCCGTGTGATTAGCCTGGATGTAGCTAAATTGGGTTAAAATACCACATCTGTCAAATGAATGAACAAACGTGTCAGCATGGTCGTTTCCTGTTTATTGCGCATACAATTATTGAACTTTAACAGATCTATATTAGTTTGCGTGTACAGTTCCCATTCCCACTTCCAATTAGTGATATGCAGTAGTGCATTTAACTCGTTGGACGCTTGAAATAACGATTTACTTATTCTATGAGCTTTCAAATTTTAATTTTCCCTCTTACCATCCTACGGGACTTGTCAAGAACATGCTTTATTACCCGTGATAAATCGTTGTTATTTGTTTATCGTGCATTAAGAATAAACTATTTATTTATTTATAAAATGCCTAAGTGACTATTTAACAACACGGTGCCGTGGCGGTTGTGCCCTGCCGCCAAGTAAAGAATCCCCTTGCCTACCAGGACAACCGCTTCAAGTCCACAAACAGCATGCACCTTTAGCACTGGCGCCACTATCCAAAGTGCAAGAATGCATGTGAAACACCCACAGACACGGCTACACACGCCTACATGAACACATACGTACATTCATATAACAACGTATGTGAAAATCCTATAGTTTCCTTATACGTTGCATGATCACATTTGCATTCTTACTATGGCCATGCCGCTGTCGGAATGCTATGCTTCCTCAGGACTAAACCCTTTATTTATTTAGTTAAAACCTTACAGGAAGACGATAAAGTCTGGTACTTATTTTTGTTCCTTCCTGCAGGCTGGGAATGGTGGGCTAGTAAGAGGAAGCGGATTCCACTCGTCCGACAACACGCGGCTGTTACGTATTTTGGTGTTGTGTGTCTGTTGACCTCAGTGAAGTGGGTGAGTTACTTCTACTTTTGGCTGCAAAATGAAAAGAAAGCTAGCTGCCATCAACAGACAAGCTATGCTTGAGTTGGTGCCAAGCGTTAACGGGGTACTAGCACTGCTTATGGAGAAGTGCATGGCACGGGTCAAAGTAGTTCACCGTAGCTTCCCCACTGCGAAGGTTTTTATGTTGCAGGGTAGGTATGCTGTGCTACCTGCAGCGACGTTGTGCTTACCTTTAAGTTAGAACAGCGGTGGATAAGGTGCCATTAGGCAGCATGCTGTGTTCGTTGTTGTTTACACAGGATTTCGCGCATTTTCATCGCTTGTAGGAAGCCATCGCTGATGGGAGCGAGAAAGCTTTAAGTACCTGTGTCCCCTGTGTATTCCAATGGCACCCAACACACCGACTGCTATCCAGTGAAGATCGCCGGATACGAATTCTTTACAATCCAACAAGTATACCATACCGGAGGAAATGAAGTCCCAGATACCCTGGAAATTTAGCTTACCCGCGCAATAATTCACTCTGCTCGAGTAGCCTCCGCCTCTATGGCAGGCTCTGACGGGGCTACCTGCACAGCTAACCGCGGAATTATCCGACGACGAATAACGGTGAAGAAATGGTTGCTAAGGATCTTTGCCAGACGGTTGAAATCAATCGACGACAGTGTTCAAGGACGTGATGGGTTTCGGCCTGACAGGCCTACTCACTACAAAACGTCAAAAAAATCCTTTTATAAACACTGCGACGTGGTGGAGGTGACCCGCCACTGAGTAAAGTCACTGTCCACAATTACATTCTGGTCTACTGACTGGAGAACATTTTTCACTATTTTTTTGCAATGTAAGAGGCTTTACCAGACCGTTGAATTCAATCG